AGGGATTTTACGGAAAATCTTTTCGGAAAGTGGACCGGGAAATGCTCCAACGACACTGTTGACAGCCATAACTTCATGGTCGTAGATAATTTCGTCTATTTAGGAGCCAACATCAACAACATTAATAATGTCAGGCTTGAAATCCAGCGCAGAACAGCTCTTGCCTACAGGTGCTACTTTGAACTGAGTAGGCAATTGAAGAATAAAGTCCTCTCCCAACGAACGAAAACCAAGCTCTACAAGTCGCTCATTATACCGGTCCTATTATATGGCGTAGAAGCGTGGACAATGGTTACAACTGATGACTCGGCGTTAGGAGCTTTCGAGGGAAAGGTTTTACGTAAGGTTCATTGCGCATTGGCAACGACGAATATCGCAGACGATAGAAGGATGACCTGTACGAGTTGTACGGCGACATTGGCATAGTTCATCGAATCTAGAAGAAGCGGCTACATTGGCTAGGTAATGTGGTACGGATGGATACGAATACTTCAGCTTTGAAAGCTTTCGATGCAGTACCCGCCGTAGGCAGCAGAGGAAGAGGAATACCTTCATCCTATTAGAAGAAGCAGGTAGAGAAGCACCTGGCTGTATTTGGTATTTCCAATTGGCGCTTAACAGCAAAAAGGAGAAGGAAAAGGCTCAAAATTGTTAACTCCGCTACAAGCGCGTAAGCGGTGTCTACGCTAGTAAAGTAAGTAAGTAAGGAAATAATTTGTATTTGCATTTATATTTGTGGTTAGATTTTTGGATTATATGCCTAAATTAAGTACTTTGGTTTGTGGAAAATGGGCCAGAGTCCGGTAACCAAGTTCGATTTCCGCGCAATATGTGTAAAATTTTCTTTGTGGGACAGTTATTACCGAAGGATTGACTGAAATTAGGATAATTTGATAAAAGCATAGATCTTAGGTGTGTATGTTTTCTGCGCCTTGTTATGATTCTACGACCGCTTTCATCGAACTGACATCTGAAAAATTTTGTCCCCGCAACTCATTTAAAAAATTTTTTTTTTAATTTTTTAAGCCAGATCTGGACTGTTAGATGGTAAATTTTTATCCACTTCCAGTAGTACTTAAGGTATTCCTCGCAACCCGAGCATTGTGAACGCATTTGTTATCTTGTCGAAGGAGCACTTTGCGCGTCTCTTTTGTACGAGCGCCTCACGCGTCGGACTCAACAAATTAGCGTAATACTGGCCGTTCGTTGTAGTTCCCTTTGGTAGGTAATTAATTAATAATATTCCCTCGCTATCCTACAAAATGGTAGCCGTAATCTTCGACGCCGACTTTTCCACTTTGAATTTCTTTGCTGACCTTTTCCATCACTTTGGCACAACTCCAACAACACACAACTCTCTAATCGTTGCTGCTTGTAGCTGATCGTGAGCATTCGCGGTTCCCAACGCGCACTATTTTTTTTTTATTTTCAAATGTTCTTGCAAAATCTCTCGAGCTCATTATTTACAGCTGGTGGTAATCAGTATTAACTGTGCCTAATCTACAGTCTACAGTCTAAGGTTTGAAAGTATACCGGTAAAGTCCGACCACTTTATGCATGATCAATGGTACTTTAAATATTCGTGCCTATTTTTTGTGAACTAGAAAATGTACAACTCTACTCATTAACATGCTTTTGACCGCTATCTCTTGGAGTTCTCGGTATCACTCGTAAGAATTGTGGTCGATCGCAACGTAACGAGATATACGATCTTTCTTCACTTGCTGTCGCATAGTACCAGCTCACTATTTAACCAATCTGTACATAAGGAGCTTCAAATGACGCTTCAGAATATATTTCTAATATAACATACTCGTATATAAAATTTTTTGGTTGAAAACAAAATTCGTCTACCATTCATTGTTTTTCCTCAGGGGATCAGAAACTCTCATACATACAATACTTTTAAAAGGGGCAAATATCCATACTTGCTTGAGCTATTGCTTAGGAGATTATCTTGGGCTAGAAAATGTTGTTTTTATTTATAAATAGAAATCAACATAAAAATAAAAAGTAACAACTGAGAGCTGTCACTTAAAAGTAAATTTATTATTATTTTCATTAGCAAACCCACTCTAAACGATATATTTTGCTAATCTTAGATGTACCGTAAGTATTGTAACTTGAACGCCCGTTAGCTTCATTATTCGAATATTAGAATACACTAATCAACACAAGTCTTGAGAAAAATATACTGGAATCTCATATACATACATATATATAAAAGTCATTTTCATAGCTTCTCTTTAATTCTTTTCATTTATGGAATTTTAAAAAAGTATAATATTTCAAGAGTTGCCTTGTGTATGGCTCATCTAAAAATTTTTCTGTTCCTAAACCTCTCACCTTGAGCTTCCCACGGTTACCATTATAACAAGTTTAGTATGAAGCTGTGAAAATGTGATGCGGCCTCGGCTAACTAAAATAATTTTATTTATTTTTAAATGAAAACAATTGTTTTTTTTTTTTTTGTAATCTTGATACTTACTTTTTTCATAACTTAGAAGTCAGCGAAATGGGAAATCACCGAATTTTCAATTGGCCTACGATCCGTACTTGTTATCCTTATGAAGTTGCTACCTATGAAAAAGCATCAATCGCTAGTTTCACTCAACTCAGTTTGCTGATATTCTCGCCTGATCATTTGCACAAAAAGCAGCTTAGAACCACTAGAAAAAGGCTGGATACACAAAGAATCACGAGGTATGAATGTCACATGAATTAACGAAAAAACCTCTTCGAAACGATGCTGAGAATCTTTGCCCATTTCTGAAACGAGTTGTGATTGATGTTGAAAAGTGGATCACTTACAGCAACGTCAAAAGAAAACGATGATAGTCGAAGGGTACTGAACCGGTCTCTAAGAAAGGATTCCCGGCAAGGACTCATCCACTATGCACTGCTCCCCTATGGTGAAACTCTCAAATCGAACCCGTAATGTCAGCAATTGGACTTTAATAAAGACAACACCAGACCACACACATCAATGTTGACTGACTAGAAGCTCCGATAGCATGGCAAGAAGGTTCTTATGGATTCACTTCGTAGTCCGAACCTCACATCAAGTGATTACTATCTGTCCCTGTCTATGGAGCGTGATTTGGTTGCTGAATAATTGGTCTCAATAGATGCCTGTGAAAGTCGATTTTCCTTATATTTTGCATATAGGGTTCTTTGATGGAGGCATACTTGCTCTAAATGGCAAACAGTTATTGAGCAAAATGGTGAATATTTGACAGAAGTCGGATAATTCTAACTAAATAAAGACTACGAAGTAGTGCAAAAATATTTTATTACTTTTTGCTAGACTAACATACGAGTATATTAATCATAATTATAGCAAAAACAATTAATATCAGTTACAAGTTATTATTAATGATGAAGTCTAAGCGAAAATAACATTGAAATAAAGGATTTTCTATCAGGTGTACAACTTTGCTTCCGCCGTTTTTCGATAGGTGGCTGTACCGGCTGAGGCTGGTTGAAATACATAGATGATAATGCCTTTAAAGTGAGTGTGGACAGTGCCTAACGAATTGTCATCGCCGTTTCACTGACAGTTGTTCTTTTGTTGTTTTTTTTTTTTTTTTTTGTGAAACCACCTGTGATCGCTACCGAACGCAACTGATGCGCCTTAGTCGCGCGCTAAAGGAAAAGCGGCCACAATATCAAGAGCGACATGACAAAGTCATCCTCCTACACGACAATGCTCGGCCTCACGTCGCAAAAGTGTTCAAAAAGTACCTGGAAACGCTGAAATGGGAAGTCTTGTCCCACGCGTCGTATTGGAAAAATGGATTGCTTCATGGATAACGTCAAAAGAGGACTCCTTTTTTCGAGCCGGGATCCGAAAATTGCCGGAAAGATGGGAGAAAGTTGTCGCTAGCGAAGGACAATACGTTGAATAATATATCTGTAAGCACTTTTTCGCAATAAAGCTTTTAATTTTTGAAAAAAAAAAAAACGGCGGAAGCAAAGTTGTACACCTAATAAAAAGAGGTGTTATTTTGAATAGCCTGAGATTAGATGTTGCTTTTGAAGCTGTAATTTTTTGACATTTGACAAGTGAAAACTTCGGCAGTAATAAAAAATGGAACGATACACACTCCAATAACGCATTGAAATTAATAAAATTTCATTTAAAAAATTCATCGAAAAATCATCTTGACTGATGAGGCCCATTTCTACCCAACGACTACATTAAAAAGCAAAACTGTCGCAGGAGTTGTTGTTGAAAAGACTCTCCATCTTCAACGTGCAGCTGTTTGGTGCGGTTTATGATCCGGCGGCTTCATTAGAACTTAACTTTTCGAAAATCAGGTTATAGCAACGGTTACGATGAATGGATTGCGCTATCAGCAGATCATTAATGGTTTGTTTTTATGCATGGAATCAGATGGTATTGATCTCAACAACCTTTACTTTCAACAAAACGGCGCTACGTACAACAAAATCACCGAATCCTTCGATCTTTTATGGAAAAGTTTCCGGATTGTGTTATCTGTCGAATAGGTGATCGCAATTGACCACCGTGGCCAATGGGCCAACGTCGGTTCAAGACATCAAAGATGGGATTCGTGAAGCTATCAAGGGCATTCTTTCATACTTTCTCTTTAAACTAAAATAAACATCTGAGCACTTTTTCCAAAAATTTAATTTTTTTATTATCAACAGCTCTTATTAGAATCCCCTGTATATAGCAATAAATGAGGATGGCTACCTTTTGCTAAAAACAAAAAATGTAGAGATAAATTATTGCCGTACCTAAAAATAACGCTTCAATTAGTGCAAAATAGACAAAAAATTCATAGAAAGCAAACATTTTTTTTTTGAAGACCAGTGTGATCTAACTGCGATAACCAACACGTGCTTTAATTTCCTATAAGTTATCTAAAATAATTCAAGACACATATTGTAAATAAGTTAATTACTACTGCTAATGGCGAAAATGATATTTAAGAGGTGGTAGCCCACTTATTAGAGAGATATTATTCCCTACACAGTTTTGTAGGATGAAGGTTCCCGTGCTTGTGACAATTTTCGCGCTGACAGGTATTTATACTTCATATTTCCAACTCGTCAATAACTTCACCGAACTTCTGCTATTTCCCTCAAATAGCTACGGCTGCACCATTCGATGACGACGATAGTGATGTGAATGGTTGGTACATACCAAAAATTGACGGTTCCCTCGTCTGGACAACCATTGAGGAGGGTGAAAATCTGTTGACCGAATTGGAAAAGAAGGAACGGGTCCTACCACGCGCTTTCAGCCTCTCACCAGTCGACTACTATCTCTACACCAAGAGCAATCCATATGTTGCCCAAAAGATCACTGCTAACCAGAAGTCCATCTCTAGTTCCAACTTCAATGCGACCAATCCAACACGCCTTCTTATACACGGTTGGACTCAGGACTATAAAGCCGATATGAACACCTTGATTCGTGATGCTTGGCTAAGCCGTGGTGACTACAATATCATTGCCGTGGATTGGGCACGCGCGCGTTCCATTGATTATATTTCATCCGTTCTTGCTGTGCCCGGTGTGGGTAAGAAGATTGCCGGCATGATTGATTATTTGTCACGTAATCAGAGCATGAGTTTGAATACTTTGGAAGTGATTGGCCACAGTTTGGGCGCACAAGCAGCCGGTTATGTTGGCAAGAATGTTGGCGCTGGTAAAATTCACATCATTGTCGGTTTGGACCCCGCACTGCCGCTCTTTAGTTGGAACAAACCCAACCATCGTCTCAACAGCAATGATGCTCAATATGTCGAATCGATTCAGACTAATGGCGGTAAATTGGGTTTCTTGAAACCAATCGGTAAGGGCGCCTTCTACCCTAACGGGGGTAGGAAACAACCTGGTTGTGGCATTGATTTGACCGGTTCATGTAGTCATGGCCGTTCCTATGTATATTACGCAGAGGCTGTGCGTAAAAATAACTTCCCCTCCATACGTTGCGCTGACTATGAAGATGCCGTCAACAAGAGTTGCGGTAGTACGTACAGTGGTGTGAAAATGGGCGCCGTCTACAATTACGAACTCGCCAATGGGGATTACTATGTGCCAGTGCGTAGTACTGCTCCCTATGGTTATGGTAATTAAGTGATTTTTGTAAGATCAGATGACGAATTTGGACTTAGAAAGAAAATATTTTATTTTAAAATCTATATTTTCTAATTCTTCCATTAAGTGGGTAATCAGCTTGGGATTAGTAAGATTCGATAACAATTTCTCAATTCAATTTCCTCTGCCTGATTCTTCTACTGGCGTAGACATTGCTAACGGGATTATAGCTGAGTCAACAACCTTGCGCCATTAATTCCTTACTTTCACTGTTGCCCATTGGAAGACGTCGTTATTTCCCTACTTGCTTTTACCAATAGGATGGAGATCTTCCTCTTCTACTGCGGGTATTGCATCGAAAACTTCCAACGCCTGAGCAATCTTATCCATTCGCACCATATGATCTAACCAGTGCAGCCGTTGTTTATTGATTCGCTGAACTAAATCAATGACGGCGTATATCTCGTATAGCTCAGGGGTCCATTGTTTACTCGTAGATAATAATTCTTACGCAAAACTTTTTTTTCAAGAACTCGTAACGCCGACTCATAAGATGTTGTCATCGTCCAAGCCTCGGACACATATATCAAGGCAGGAACGATAATCGAATTTGGTCTTCTTTTGTCGAGAAACGACATTACTTTTCAATTGAATACTCAGTCCAAAGTATCACCTGTTGGCTTAAGTGATTCTCCGCTGGATTTTCAGGTGGACGTTATTTTTTGTGTTAATGCTGGTTCGTAGGCAGATGAAGTTGTCTACTACCTCGAAGTTTTGGCTATCAACCGTGACGTTGGAGCCGATGTTGCGAATGCAATGACTGATTCTCTGATGACGGGAAATATCTCGTTTTACCCTCGTTCCTTCGATTCGTTATACAGTCTGGAAAAAGTAGAACTCACAGCGCGGTTGTTAAGGCCTATGATATCCATATCATTGGCGCACCCCAGCAGTTGTACACTCTTATAGAAGATTGTACCTTCTCTATTCAGCTCTACAGCTCGTATTATTCTCTCCAACATCGAATTGAAGAAATCATATGACAAAGAAACCTCTGAAAACTGGTTTGGTATCAAATGGCTCGGGGAGTTAATTTCCAATTCTGACCACGCTTCGGGTATTGTCCAGCATCAGTCCACGCAGCCGTATAAGTTTTGCGGTGATACCAAACTCAAACATAGCGGCGTAGAGGCAGCTCATTTTGGTGCAAGCGGCTTTAGAATCGACGAAGAGATAGTGAATGTCTATCGTTTAGCTGATTAAATGAAGTTAAAATCAGATCGGGTTCGAAGTTGATTTACAAGAATTGAACTCTGAGTTGAGTACGTATAAATAGACTGAATTCGTTTTCACGTACAGCAGGCACTCAGAGTAAAGTAGAGATTTTTGCTTAGAGCCCTGATACGGGACTCTGTGGTACTTACTATACTGTACCATAGTTTACTAATTATGGATAGAAAATGGTATGTTATGTAGTCCAAAGTAACTTTTACACACACTCCAAGCAGACATGAGTTGCATATAAGCACCCAAGCATTTCAGCTGTGCTTGTGTGGCTGATACATATATACTCGTAAAGAGCAGAGTGAATCCGCGGTAATCACGCAATTAAAAGTATCTCAACTTCAGTTGGATGGAAGTTAGTTAGACTCGGTTTCGGATTAGGTTTACACTGTGCAGCTGCGTCTTGGCCAGAGTTTCATATAGTGTAGAGTGTATATATATGTATGTATGTGTACTAAACTGGAGTGACATTCCTTTATTTTTATTATCATTATTATTTTTGTTGTTGCTGGTGTTGGTAATGGCGTTTGTTGGTGCTAATTTCGAAAAGTAGTTAGCGCTGTTAAGTGCAATTACTCGTATTACTCGCCCCACACAGCGTGCTGCGGCCAAAAGACAATTGCCCGGTTGCTTCTACAATTACCGTTGTGCGGTGTTCTTTTCTAAATTTAGTCATTTTCTCCATTAAAAATATTCGTATTTTTTCATATATTATGAGAACGGAAACATTTTTAGCAGTTAATTACATCATTCACCCAGCACAGATCACAAGAAGAGTTCAAATAGAAATTATTAAAATTTATTTTCAATATAAATGGAATTTAGATTTAAGCAGTGTTTCCGCAAAATGGAACAGCAGCGTCAGGAGTTATTGACACTTAACTAAAGGTCCGGATTACTTGAAGCTAAATTCGAAACTTTTATGGAAGCTTTCGCCGTTATTTTTCCAAAATTAAGAGCTTTATTGCGAAAAAGTGCTTACAGATATATTATTCAAAGTATTGTCCTTCGCCAGCAACAACGTTCTCCTATCTATCCGGCAATTTTCGGAGCCCGGCTCGAAAAAAGGAATCCTCTTTTGACGCTATCCATGAAGCAATCCCTTTTTCCAATTCTTCGAAGGATTGAGAATGTTGATCTGCCAGGCCGTGTGCCATCGAACGGAATAGGTGGAAGTCAAAAGGGGTGACATCTGGAGAATACGACGGGTGGGGCAAGACTTCCCATTTCAGCGTTTTCAGGTACTTTTTGACCACTTTTGCGACGTGAGGCCATTGTCGTGTTGGAGGATGACTTTGTCATGTCACTCTTGATATTGTGGCCGCTTTTCTTTTAGCGCGCGACTAAGACCCATCAGTTGCGTTCGGTAGCGATCTCCTGTGATGGTTGCACCCGGTTTTAAGAGCTCGTAGTAAATCACACCGAGCTGATGACACCGAGCTGATCCCACCAAATACGAATGATAAACGGACATTTTCGAGCGTGAATAATACGAAAACAAGAACAACTGTCACTGAAACGGCGATGNTTTTTTTACATGTTCTATATATAGTTCTCCGTGCAATGACCTATCGTTTTTTAATCTGATCAAAAGATCGAAGTTTGGCAGGCCAAAAACGACCAAAATTTTGCGTAAAATTCGACTATTTTTTTTAAAACACCCCCATATTGTCAATTTTTGATTTTTTTATCGTAGGTCATTGTACGGGCAATATTATCTAGTAGAGAATTTTTTTCGGAAAAGTTGTACACCTGATAGCATAATCTATATAGGGTTAACCGGTTTCGAAATTAAACGTAATTAAATATTTTTGTTTTTTAATGAAATTCCTTCATTTTCATTATTAACTTTGGACCTTGGGATTTGAGGCAACTTTTGGATCATAATTAGCGGTATCTGAGCCTTATTTTGGCGAGTGTTTGTTTTCTAGTGTTTAAGGGGTAAATGTGTATAAGCATAAAAATGATCTTTCACGTACACCACAATCGTATGATCTCAGTGGCCAATTTACATCACCAAGTCGAGATGTAATATGATGCGGCCGGGAAATTTCTCTCGCAATAAAGCCAAATTCTCTCGTCTTTTGTGTGGCATTTGTCAGCATCTTGTTGTAACCACACTGTCCATCTCGTATTTTTCAATTGCATGTCAAAAAAAAAAAAAAAAAAAAAAACGGTTATCATACGACCAACCGCCCCAAATTCTCCGAATTTTGTGCGAAAAAACCTTCATCCTCCGCCTTTCCAGCACCCGACTATGAAAAAGTCTGAATGGCAACTACCTGCTTAAAAAACAACAAAGCGGCAGGGAATGATGGATTACCGATCGAGCTATACAAATACGGCGGTGAAGAACTGACAAGGTGCTTCTTTGCAAAATATAATTAGATAAGAGCATGCCTAACGATTTGAACCCAAGTATGCTCTTTCCAAACAAATAAATGGTAGAAAGGCTAAAGCCAACCGTCAACAAACTGATTGGACCTTATATTATGGCTTTAAACCTGGTAAGTCAATAATTGACCAGATTTTCATCATGAGCCAAATCTTGGAAAGGACCCTTGGAAAAAGCAGCGCCACACACCCCCTTTTCGTAGATTTTACAGCACCCTTCGACAGCACAAAAAGAAACTATCTCTACGCCGCTATATCTGAATTTGGCGTCCCCGCAAAACTTATGCGGCAGCGTAGACTGATGCTCTTTCCGGGCTATTTGATACCAAACCAGTTTTCAGAGGTTTCTTTGTCGTATGATTGCTTCAATTTGATGATGGAGAGAATAATACGAGCTGCATAGCTGAATAGAAAAAGTACAATCTTCTATAAGAGAGTACAGCTGCTGGCGTACGCCGATGATATTGGCATTATCGTTATCAACAGCCGCGGCGAAAGTGCTGATTTCTCCCGACTGGATGAGGAAGCGAAGGATATGGGCCTTATAGTAAATGAAGGCAAGGCGATATATCTCCTGTCATCTAACAACCAGTCAACGTATTCGGCGCCCACGTCACTGTTGACAGCCATAAATCGAGGTCATAGATAATACCACAGACGATGGAGCGATGGTGATATGTGGCGAAAAGCATAGAGGAAAGGCGTTGTAATCTTGATTCGGAATAAGCGATGCCAACGAGAATAAAAAAAAAGAAGAAGACCCAGTCGAAGTATGTACGGTATTGTAATTGGTCAGCTGGGTTAAGTTGTTGTTGTGTAGCCCAAATGTAGAAATAGGTCGTAATGTGTCGTACGAAAGTTCCAGCTCTTTAAAACGCCGTGAAATAGACATACTGGGGCTTTCAGCTCCACTTGCACTCTCTGTAGCGATATTTGAGAGGAAACAAGCAAAATGATGTTGACCAAGTCTTCCAAACATGTTTGGTCTGACAGTTAAGCTTGACACATGTCTATACACAGTCATGCACTGACCTGCACCCTGAAACGCCGAAATAGATAATCCAATATTTAATTTGAGACTTTTAACCCAATTCAATTCATTCGGCAATTTTCACACCAAAATTTACCAAATTTCGACTATTCATTTCTCGAAAACTGTTAACACATTTTCAATACAAGGTTTATAGAATGCAAGGTTACGACAAGAGCGAAATCATATGTACGGTGACGATGTTGGTGGTTAAATCTTTTGGGTTGCCGAAGACTGTAAAACAAGTTTTGACTATAAAATAATAAAACCTGGCATTAAGAGAGTTTTATGGCGAATATTTGAATATTTATTTAAAAGATTTTTAAATTATGAAAATTAATATTATTTTTTAACTAAAATTTCGATAGCTAGCAGCTCCTAGTTTTGGTGTC